ATCATACACGTGCTTCGATTTAGATGGCTAGTTGAGCGTACGATCTTCTGAGCGGCTGTCTTGCGCGACGTTCGAAGCGTTGCGAGCGTTATCACATTTTTGTGTGGACAAGCTGCAGGCCATTTGCCTTCACCGCCTGGTGTGCTTGAAAACGGTGCCCATACCGGGGTGGAATTGATGGCCCACGCGCTTTCATTGGCGCCCACTGCATCGAGTTGACAAGCGCGGCCCGCTCATCAGTCAAGGCTCGTCTTGGATCTATCGTTTATGCTCCGACTGGCGATCCCAGTCCATCTGCGAACTGTTGGCGTTTTCTGAAGACAGAAAGCATCTGGGCCTCCTAGATCGGGCTGGGGTCGGAGGAGAGGATGGGGTCGGAGGATACGGCCGCACCGCCGATGCATCGGCGATGCGGCTCGATGCGGAGTCCGATTTTCTCCACGCCGACGTCGCTGATGCATCCCTGACGTCGACGGTGCATCGCCCCGATGCGTCGTCGATGGATCCGGCGATGTATCGGCGATGCGGCGTGATCCTCCGACCCCATTTATTCGGACCCCATCTAGGAGGCCTCAAGAACAGGCCTCCCAGGCTCCGCAGCACGTCCGTCTACCGGGGGCGGCCGCCGACCTCGCAATTCCCGCATATTGTGTGAGGCTCGGCATGCTGACCGTGTGAGTGGGGCGGTCGCCAACCGTGGAAAGAGCGCGGTTTGTGAACGTTTGGGAAAAGAGGGGTGGGCTTGCACCGCCCCCTTCCTCCCGCAATGCAACGGTGGACCTGGGGTTAAGTCGGGCCTGTCCCCCATACAGGGGGATTTTCGACGAAAAATAAAACATACCCTCGAAACATATGCAACAAATAGTCCAAGAATAGTCTGGGGATTTATTTTTTGAGTACTTGTTGATCTTTTTGGGGGTATTTTGAATGTTTTTTCCCCCTGCAGGGGGACACGCTCGACATAAAACTGGGGCTCGAACTGGGGGGAGCCGCCCACCCCGCTTCCAGGCAGGAGGGGGCTCGATTTGCACCCCCCCTTTGCATCGAGGGGGTTGGGGTTCGCACCGGCCCTCCCCTCCCGCCCCTCGCCAGTGGCCCCCCCCCGACGACGGCGAGCGCCGGCGCCGACGCTGCCGGGCAACGACGACGATGACGATCGAGATTTAGCAGGATGTTGTCAAGACTGGATCGAGCCCTCGTAATATTTTACTAGAGCTAAACCGAGCCTTAGTAGGATGTAATGTTTAGCTGGATCTAGCTATGGTCTGATTCTGTGCGAGATGGACGTAAGCTCTCTGTAGGATTCAAGTAAAGCTGGATCCAGCCATAGTAGGATTGCATCGGAGCTGGATCGAGCCCTAGTTGTATTCAGTTGGAGCTGGATCCAGCTGTAGTAGGAGTTTGAAGCTGGATCCAGCTATCGTAGCGCCCAACTCGGATTATAGAGGCCGACAAGGACGCTTTAGATCCAGCTATAGTTGGAATGTTTTAGAGCTCGATCGAGCACGAATGGGATTCTATTGAGGGCGTTGGGGGGGAGCGGTTCGACCTGCCCCCCCTTGGACAGGAGGGGGGGGGCGGTTAGAGAGGCCAGTGTCCTTCCCCTCCCCGCCCCCCCTCCCCAGCTTTGGGCGATTCAAATGTTTTATTTAGAGAAGGGGGAGGGGGCGGTTCCGACGTGTCCTGGGATTTGTCCCAAGCAAGCGTCCACAGAACGCGTTCTCTCCAACCTTGACCTTGTACACTGGCATTCCGCGACCAGGCTCCACATGCTGTCCGTCAGCGAGGGGCTGTCGCCGACTGGACGTTGTAGACTCACAGGTGGGATGGACGCTCCTCGTCTCCCCGCCTCCACCGCCGTTCCCCGACCTGGTCTGCCCATGAGAAGTGTGCACATGCACCGATCCTGGCCAGGCCCACCTTGGGCCCAGGATCGGTGCATCTGCTTCCCTGGCCAAGGCAGGAGGGCGTATGCGCCGACCCTGGGCTCGGGATGGGCCCGGTCAGAACTGGTGCCTGTGCGCACTTCTCTTGCCACCAAACTGCAGGGGGGGAGGAACCGGCCTACTGGAGTGGAGAGGGGGGGGGGGACAGCCTCGACCCCCCAGTCGCTCCTTGGCTTGCCGCTCGGGGCCCGCGTGCCCCGCCCCGCCCAGAGACGGAGGGCTGCGCCGTCGGGCTCCTCTCGCGGATCTGCCGACGACGCATCTGAGAGTCCACGACGGCGTCCCTCCCCGGAGTCGACTGCACGTTTCCCCCGATCGCCGAACGCGAGGCGATAGCAGCGCCTTGCGCGCTTGTGCTCGGTCCCCCCCCGCGGCCCCCAAAGAGCCGCGCACCAAAGGTCACTCTTGCTTGGGGTCATTCTTGCGTGTATACAGGAACAAAAAGTGGCATAAACATAACAACTCGGAGGCCCGCGCGGATTTCTCGGATCGGCGCTGGACCCCCCTCCCTGGCGCGCGGAGCGCGCCAGGAGCGGCGCCGGAGGCGCCTTCAGGGGCCCCCAACGCCGATCCGAGAAATCCGCGCGGACCTCCGAGTTTGTATGTTTATGTCACTTGTTGTTCCCCTAGTGTAGCCGACAGTCCCCCCCCCCCCCCAACTGTTGTTCCCCCTCAGCCCCGCCTCTGCGGAGGGAGCCGCGCGCCCGCGTGCCCCTCGCGGGCTTGCGTCGCCTCGGCGCGGCGGAACGGCCCCGCCGCGGGCGTTGCAGGTCGAACGCCGCCAGGGGCCCAGCATCTGCGGATCTGGAAGGATTTGGCGCTAGGAGTAAGTCGGGCCTGTCCCTCTACAGGGGGAACATTCAGAAATAGTAAAATTATCCCGACACAGCAACCTAACAGCGATGTGTATAAGCATATTTGGAAGCATTCCCTTTAAGATTCAGGTGAGAATCCAGTTGTAGAATTCTGCTGTTCTCGCAGTCGCAGTCGCATTCGCAATGACAGTCGCAGTGGCAGCGGCCTTAGGACCCAATGGAATCCTAAGGATTCCTAGGGATTACCAAGGCATCCTTAGGCATCCTTAGGAATCCATAGGAAACCTTAAGAATCCTTTGGAATCCTGATTCCCTAGGGATTCCTAAGGATTCCTGAGGAATCCTAAGGATTTCTATGGATTCCTGAGGATGCTTAACTATGCCTACGGATTCCTAAGGATGCCTACGGATTCCTAAGGATTCCTAGGGATTCCTACGGATTCCTATGGATTCCTACGGATGCCTCAGCCTGCCTCAGCCTCAGCCTCAGCCTCAGCTTGCCTCGGCTTGCCTCAGCCTCAGCCTCAGCCTGCCTCGGCCTCAGCCTCAGCCTCAGCCTGCCTCAGCCTCAGCCTGCCTCAGCCTCAGCCTCAGCCTCAGCCTCAGCCTGCCTCGGCTTGCCTCAGCCTTGGCCTCAGCCTGCCTCGGCCTCAGCCTGCCTCGGCCTCAGCCTGCCTCAGCCTCCCCTCCTCCCTCCCATCCCCCCCCATTCAGCCTCACCTTGTCTCAGCTTCGGCCTGCCTCGGCCTCATCCTCAGCCTCAGTCTCAGCCTCAGCCTTTCTCGGCCTCAGCCTCAGCCTCAGCCTGCCTCAGCCTCAGCCTGCCTCAGCCTCAGCCTGCCTCAGCCTCAGCCTCAGCCTGTCTCAGCCTCAGCCTGCCTCGGCCTCAGCAACAGCCTCAGCCTCAGCCTGCCTCGGCCTCAGCCTCAGCCTGCCTCGGCCTCAGCCTCAGCCTCAGCCTGCCTCAGCCTCAGCCTCAGCCTGCCTCAGCCTCAGCCTGCATCAGCCTCAGCCTCAGCCTGCCTCAGCCGCAGCTTGCCTCAGCATCAGCTACAGCCTCAGCCACAGCCTCAGCCTCAGCCTCAGCCTGCCTCAGCTTCAGCATCAGCCTCAGCCTGCCTCGGCTTGCCTCAGCCTCAGCCTCAGCCTGCCTCGGCCTCAGCCTTGGCCTCAGCCTGCCTCAGCCTCAGCGTCAGCCTCTCAGCCTCAGCCTGCATCAGCCTCAGCCTCAGCCTGAGCCTGCCTGAGCCTCAGTCTCAGCCTGCCTCAGTCTCAGCCTGCCTCAGCCTCAGCCTGCCTCAGCCTCAGCATCAGCCTGCCTCGGCCTCAGCCTGCGTCAGCCTCAGCCTCAGCCTGCCTCAGCCTCAGCCTGCCTCAGCCTCAGCCTCAGCCTGCCTCGGCGTGCCTCAGCCTCAGCCTCAGCCTGCCTCGGCCTCAGCCTGCCTCGGCCTCAGCCTGCCTCAACTCGGGCATTCAAAATATGGCACAGGACTTGTGCTCTGGGAACACGAGGATCACGAAGTGGTCCACAGTTGGCTCCGGGCAATCAAAATGTGGTACAGGAATTATGTTCTGGGAACGCGAAGAGCACGAAGTGGCCGACAGTTGGCTCCGGGCATTCAAAATGTGGCCTGGGAGTGGTGTTCTGGGAACACGAAGAACACGAAGTGGCCTACAGTTGGCCCCGGGCATTCAAACTGTGGCCTGGGAATGGTGTTCTGGGAACACGAAGAACACGAAGTGGCCTACAGTTGGCCCCGGGCAATCAAAATATGGCCTGGGAATTGTGTTCTGGGAACACGAAGAACACGAAGTGGCCTACATTTGGCTCTGGGCAATCAAAATGTTGTAGAGGAATGGTGTTCTGGGAACACGAAGAACACGTAGTGGCCTACAGTTGGCTCCGGGCACTCAACATGTGGCCTGGGAATGGTGTTCTGTTGGCTCCAGGCAGTCAAAATGTAGCTCTTGGCAATAAAAGTTGGGAGTCCCCGGTTTTCCCTGGCATCCCCCGGATCCTGCCCAGACCCCCCTTGGGACTCAGGAGTTCTCTTTTGAGCTCAGTCTTCGCTGCTAGGTTAAAATAGTCGGGGGACTATTTGTTTAGTACTGTTTGGCATTGTTCCAGCATTCTTTGCGTTTTTTCATGTTTCGTCCAAAATTCCCCTGTAGGGGGATACGCCCGACTTAACGCTAAGAAATCCGCCGATCGTGCAAGGCTGAACGATCCACGCGGCGTCGGGAACCAACGCGGGGGCCATGACAGCACGAGCCTGCCACGCACCAGCCACCAGGCCGCGAGGCAGACGGGGGGTGAGGGGCAGTGGTGCGTCCCCGCGTTCGTTTCGGAGAGCAGGGGCAGGTCTGGCCGAAGCAGGCGGCACCAACATAATATCACGCGCATCACCAACAGCAGGCGCTGCCGATCGAGGTGGTCTTCCCGGTCGTCTTCCGGCAGTTCTTCCAGCGGTCTTTCGAGGCCGCCCCGGAGGCGTGGCTGCCGTTCGAGATCTGCGGGCGGCTGGGGGATAGCCGCGAGCCGTGGGCCGTGGATCCGGCGCCGCCCTTGATGCCTCGGGCCGCGGCCCCTCGGTTCTCGGGCCTGACGGCGCGAGCCGCCGAGGTGGGTGACGTCTTCGGGGCGCGCGAGTCCGACGACGCAGCGCGTCTGGACTTTCCTCAGCTTCGGCGTCTGGCGGCGAGCCTTGATTGGATGCTGGCGCGCAGGCGGGGCGCGGGCTGGAGGGCGGCGGCCGTCGCCCGCGAGGGCGGGCGGGGCCGCGGGCTTGCCCGGCTCTCGTTTCTGCCGACGAGTCCGAGAAATTCAAGGGGGCGGTCGTTGCCTCCAGCATCAGTCGCATCGGGGCTGCGGGCTTCCACCAGTTTCGGCGTGCCAGACCGTCTCACGACTTCGCGGCATCCTGCCAGACACGGGCAGAAATTCGCCGCCGTGGCCGATGGCGGGCTTGGGAGCAGCGTTTGCCTGCGCGAGAAGGGAAGCCGACTCACCGATGCAGTTTATCGCCTACCTTTTTCTGCTTCAGCGGCGCGGGGCCAGCCCGCGTTCGCGGCGCCCTCAGCTTTGCCGCGGCCCGCCCGGGTGCTTCTAGGCGCGGAGGGTGTGCCCGTGCTGCTGGCGCCGCAGGGTTCGTGGCCCTCGCGCGGGACTTGTTGCTTGGTGCGAAGTGTTGTTTATTCGATTGTTTGGGCGATCTAACTCACCCGGGACAATCGAATTCAATGTTGCTCCAGATTTCGCGCAGGCCTGCTGATGGACCAGCACGCTGGCGCCCACCGCAACGCCCGCGCTCGTGCCAGAGGTCACGGGATTGATTGGGCCCCAGCTGTTCGACCTGATGATTTCTTGCGCGGGCCTAGGCCTTTCCTAGAAACTCCAGGCCCAGGTTGAGACGTCAAGTCGAACTGTCTGAATCTGATCGCGTCTTCCTTTGCGGGCGTGCCACTCGGCCTGCAGGTCCCGCGGTCAGTCGAGAATCCCAGGACGTCCAGGCTTTGGCTTCTTCAAGCGTCCAGCCAGAGGTCGCGTTGTCGAATTCGTGATCACCTCTTTGCGCACGCGGGGAGCCCAGTGGCGGAAAGACACGGGCATCCTGCTGGGGCTGATGCGTTTGACCCCATGTCGCAACACCCGACATCAGGGCTCGAAGCGTGGACTTTGCGTTTGCACTGGCGTTCGTCACGACATCCTGCGTGGCAGGAGGCCTGGCGGGACGTTCGCCGCAAGTGTTGCTGCCGTCGATCCTCCTCCTTTCTGCAGGGCCCTAGCTCGCTTTTTTTGTGACGCTCTTGTTGCGCAAGTTGCTGCCTCTGCCGGAAGGCATATATACATGATTCGGCGTACCCAGCTTGTAAGCATGCCCGCAAATTTGGAGTTGCGATAATTGTCTAAGCCGGCGCAACCGAGGCGTGGCAGACCTCCTCCAGAATGCAGCTCGGCCTCACACCTGACTTCAGGCAAGAAGAACTCGGATGATGGTCGTGCTTGTGCGAAATCTATTTTGCAATCCGCGACGGTCCGGGGGCTCAAGGCGCACCGCCATTCATCCCCTCCTCCTTTCTTGTTCATTCGCTTTTGGTTTTGCGATAATGTTTCAGCCGATGCACCCGAGGCGTGGTAGCGCGCCTCCGAAATTCAGGTCGCCCGCGCACTTGACGTTTGACAAACAACTCGAATCATCATCATCATCATCATCATCATCATCATCATCATCATCACCATCATCATCCAACTCATCAGCACCATCATCCTCATCGTAGCCCTTTCGGCACGCCGTTCACACGTTTCGTTGTTCGATATGGAGTCCCACCGCAGGCCCCCGTGGAAGAGCACGCATGCCACCACCGCGCCCGATTCAGCACGTCCCCTCACACGCTTCACCACCCCACCGGGACGTTCACCAAATGCCCCAACGGGAAGGTCCGCATGTCACTACGGCACCCAATTCGACACGCCGGTGACGCTTCGTGGCCTCATAGGGGGCCCCATCGAAGGTTGTACTCATGCTTTCGCATGTTTGGTTTTCTCGCCAGGCTGATTCAACTGCTCAAAGAAAGGCCTGGCGCCCCAGCCCAGGCGACCGCTGCTCCTCGCAGCCGGAGGAAAAGACGCTTGAGAAAGGGAGGGGCGGGGCAAGGCTGGAAGAGGCGGAGCGAGGGAACGGGGGACGCGGAGTGGAGTGACAAGACCGTTGGCGCGCCGTGGGGCGTCTGCTCTGCACTACCCTGGTGAGCACGGTGGTCCCGTTGCCAGGGACGTGAAGAGGCCGCTGGCGCTCGCCATGGACTGGGACGCCCCGAACCACTACGATGTGCTGGGCGTCTGGGCGCGGCTGTTCCTGACGATCACTTTCCTCATCTGGGCGGACTCGGGGCCTCCAAGGGGTGGCGGCAGGTCGGGGTTCCTTGGGCCCCCGTGCGGCCCGAGCGGCATCCCGCTCGGCATCGATTCTGGCCAGCCCCATCCGATGCGCTTCCGCTTGGCCCGTGACGACAACCTTCCTCGTCTGGGCGTGCGCGGAGCCTCCCAAAGGTCTAGGGTTGGTTCCCCGCCTCCCACTCCCGTCGTTTTGGTCTGGAGCGCCTCTGGTAGGATCGCGCCACCGATGAGTTTGGGAGGCGCTGGAAGCAGGTCGGGGCCACCAGGTTCCATGGCGACCCGATCGATATGGTTCGATATGGGTCTCGGCCGGCCCCGCCCGATCCGATTCCGATTTCTCATGATCGGTTCGGACGGCCTCGCGGCCTCCTGGGGCGGCTCGGTACGATCGACCGGTCGTATCGGACCTGATCGCGAGATCGATATCGAGCTGGCCGGTTTGGTCCGCGATTCCTCATTTGGGCAGATTCGCGGCCTCCAGAGGGCGGCGGCGCGCCGTCGAAGAAGAACAGACAGCAGTGACACAAGCTTTTGGAGGTCCGCGCGGATTCTTCGATAGAGCGGCGCGCGCCAGATAGGGGGGGGGTCCAGCGCCGATTCGAGAAGTCCGCGCGGATCTCCGAAAGGTTCTTTTTATTTCATGCTGATGTTTCGGATCTTCTGCCACAGAGGGCGGCGGACAGGTCGGGGTCACCCTGGGGTCAGTGTCTTTGCGTTGGAGTGTCACGGCCATGGAGTTTCGAGCGTCTGCTTCCAGCCGCCCGAGAAGCCTGTACACTACACCCAGAAATCCTGGGGGCGTGCGAGGGCCCTGGCCGTGGGATTGGCATGCAATTGTTTCCCCTTTCTGGGGCGTGTTTTTTTTGCATACTGAGCGTGGCCTCTTGGGGTGGAATCTGACTGGGGCGCGGATTGTGTGGTACAGTCGGGGCCCTGAAGAAGGAACCCTTTTTGTTGGGGAGGGGCTCCGCGTTCCTTAAGTGTTTCGCAGCTTGCCTCAGGTTTTCCTTATGTTTTCGATGGGGAATCGAAGTTTAACTTATGGAAAAAAGGGGCCTCGTTCCTTATTTAGGGTTGCTTTGGTCAAGGCCCCGACGGTATACCAAAAAAGGTCAAGGATGGTTGCCCGCCGTCTGGCCTCCTGCCGAGCGGGGCCAGCTCTCGAGCAGCCGTCGGTGGTGCCCCGGCCCGCCTCTTGTGTCCAGCCTCCGCTGCACGCCTCTCTTTGGTCTTCTGATTCTCCCGACTCCGACATGGTTGGGCCCCGTGCCCAGTGGTTTCGTGGGCACCCGCCGATACATATTGTTCGGATACGTCCTCAGTCTTCTGTCCTCCATCTGCCCTCCCGTACCGCCCCTGCCCCTTCTCCCCCTCGTCTTCCCCGCACGTTCCCCTCCTCGCTCCCTCTCCTCTCCTCTCCCCCCTCTTGCACCTCATTCTTGAGATCGGGGGTGGGAGGATGGAAGAGAGTAAGCAAGACGACCACATCGTGATGAAATGCTAAAATCGCCTCAATGCGTGTTTCCGTCCTTCCCCAGCAGGTGGGCATGACCACACACGACTTGGCTTTGATTGGCCGGTCGAAGAATTACATTTTGGACTTGGCTGGCGTGAACGAGCATTGCCCTCTCATACGGAAGGCCACTGGGGCCGTGCAAATTCCATGTGGCCCTCTCGTTTTACCGCTGTGAGGGGCATCGTTGGATGGCCACGGGCTCCTGCAGATGCGGAGAGGAGTGAGGGACTGCCCTGGCTTTCTGGGCATTGGTAGCCAGGAGAGCCAAAGCCGCCCGCCGCAGGCGACGATGTGTGTACAGTGGGGGCCCATGCCAAGAAACACCTTGCTCGCCCCCAGGGTGCCCTAGTTTTCTTGGGTTTCGATGGTTTTGCGATGGAAAGCGTGGCGTTCCCACACCAAGAATCAATGGACCTCCTGGGGTCTCAGGGTTGGGTTTCTTGTGGAAGGTTTCTTGTGGACGAACCTCCACTGTAGAAGCAGGGACAGTCGTGGAATGATCAGCTGCACGGACAGAACTTGTCTGAGCTCAGCGCGGCGTTATTGGGTCGGCGTTGGACCCGCCTGGCGGTGCCTCCAGCGCCGTCTCTGGAGCGCTCAGCGCGCCAGGGACAGGGACAGGGACGTCGAGGGGACGTCATATGCAGCCCGTCTAGGAGACAACTGCGCATGCACAGCGAGGAACGCAGGATGAGGTGGAGGAGGAATCGGCACCGCCATGGGGTCAATGCAAACATAAACAGAGGAGGAGGAGGAGGAGGAGGAGGAGGAGGAGGAGGAGGAGGAGGAGGAGGAGGAGGAGGAGGGGAGGGGGGAGGGAGGGGGAGGGGGAGGGGGAGGGAGGAGGAGGAGGAGGAGGAGGAGGAGGGGGAGGAGGAGGAGGAGGAGGGAGGAGGAGGAGGAGGGGGGCCCAGCGCAGATCCCAGAAGTCCGCGCGGACCACGGAGAGCTGCTGCTTCCGCCGTGCCGAAGGCCGTCGCAGGCCCCGCCCTTCTTGGTCGCAGCGCTCGGCATGCGCAGCTTGGACCCCGAGACCCCCTTTGGCCCCCGCCGCGTCGCGACGAGCTGATGGCCCGACCGGCCCTGCCGCGGGCAGGTCTCAGAGCTGATGGGCCCATGTTCCACCACCGCTACCACCTATGGGAGAGGGAGGGGGAGGAGGAGGAGGAGGAGGAGGAGGAGGAGGAGGAGAAGGAGAAAGAGGAGGAGGAGGAGGAGGAGGAGGAGGAGGAGGAGGAGGAGAAAGAGGAGGAGCTCGCCACCCTCCATTCTCCCCCGTCCTGCACACGGCAGCTGCGGTGGAGCAGCTGCCCATCAGGAGCAGGAGCCGGCGGGCGCCGCTCGCTCCTTTCTCGGCGTGCGCTCCCTCGCGGCGGATGGCCCGTGCAAGACTCTGGAGGGGAAAAAACACACACATAGGCAGTTCATCGTCGACTCCCAGGAAAATATGGGAAAGTATGGGAAGTGGGGGGGAAGACAAACAGCCAGAACATATTTGAAAATATGGTAAACATGTTTTATTTGTGTGTATCTATTTGTGTGTCCCGCGGCCCTCCCTGGCGCTAGCTTCGTCGTCCTCGTCTGGGCCTACATTTGGAGGCTCCTCGTCGCCGCGGCGGATTGTCCGCCTCGGACGAGCGAAGAGTGGGAAGCCGACCCCAGGCCCCACGGCGACGGATTTCACGCGTCAGCGTTTTGCAGGTTGGTTGTCGTCCTCGTCTGGGCCTCCCTTTGAGGCTCCTCGTCGCCGCGGCGGATTGTCTCGGGCCGAACGGATGGGGGGGATGGGGAAAGGGGGGGGGGTACGAAATCTGCGGCATGCAGCTGGTTTCGGCCCCGCCGCCGGGCCCACTCCTCGATACACGAACGCCTCCCGGAGCCCGGAGGCGCCGGGAAAATCAACTGCGTGAGCTGATTCTCAACCCCCCCCTTTGCTATCCCCCCCTTTCGCCCGGCCCGATTGTCCGCCTCGGATGAGTGAACAGTGGGAAACCGACCCCAGGCCTTACGACAACGGATTTCACACGTCAGCGTTTTGCAGTTATGGCGAATGTGCGTAGGTGTATGAGCCCTGTAGGCGAGGTCACTGCGAGCTGCCGCAGGGGGGGCCCCGCTTGCGCGGTCTAGTTGGTCTAAAGTTCCTCATGTGGGGGTCGGGGACCGGTTTTTATGCGTTCAATAAGCGGGTCAGGATGGACTCCAGGCGTGGCCTGGGGCCCGAGGTTGAGCGGCTGCACCCCTCATCCCCTCGCCTGCGAGGATAGTGCTGCGCATAGCGTGCACATGGAGGCTTTGATGTGCACGCTACTCGAGGGGTCCTACAGAGTGCCCGTCGTAGGAGGTGCACTCTGTACGCGGTTGTCCAGCGCTGAGCGTGCACCCCCGACGGTTGAGACAGAAACGTCTAGCGGGCACATCCGCTATACGTCGCCTAAGCTCGCGCATCGCACCCCGCGACGCGCGACGCGCGGACATCTTCGCGCCCCCGCGCCCCTGCGCAGCTCCCCGTTGGAGAAGCGCAGCCGCTGTGGCCCCGACCGCGGCGCTGACGCGCGATCATCTTCGCGCCGCCGTGGGTAACCTGGCCTTCCTTCCTGCCACCTCCTCCTCGTCCTCCTTCCTCCTCGTCCTCCTCCTCCTCCGCCTCCTCCTCATTCTCCTCCGCCTTCTCCTTCGCCTTCTCCTCCTCCTCCTCCTCCGCCTCCGCCTCCTCCTCCTCCTCCTCCTCCTCCGCCTCCTCCTCATTCTCCTCCTCATTCTCCTTTGCCTTCTCCTTCGCCTTCTCCTCCTCCTCCTCCTCCTCCGCCTCCTCCTCCTCCGCCTCCGCCTCCGCCTCCGCCTCCGCCTCCTCCTCCTGTCAACCTGGCCCTCCTCCATCTGCGACGCAACAAAACGGGGTCGCCTGCGCTGTCCCCGGCGCGCGAGCTGCCCGCGCAAGGTCGGCGCGTCAGCGCCCTCGCGTCTCCGGAGCGGCGTGCCGGGCGGGCGGCCCGCGCAAGCCGCCGCGCGAGGCCGCGGCGCCATCTCGCGCAAAGGACGAGGAGGAGGATCAGGAGGATCAGGAGGAGGAGGAGGAGGAGGAGGAGAATCAGGAAGAGGAGGAGGAGGAGGAGGAGGAGGAGAAGGAGGAGGAGGAGGTGGAGGAGGAGGAGGAGGATCAGGAGGAGGAGGAGGAGGAGGAGGGGAATCAGGAAGAGGGGGAGCAGGTCTCCGATCGTCGCTCGCATGCTCCCGCGGGCCACGGGGGGGCGCTCGCTATAGGAGTACCGCCAGGGGCCGCGGAGCGCTTGCTGCCCTTGCGGGCCACTTGTTGGCTCCCTCCACCCGCGGGCCCCTCGGGAGGCGCTCCCCGGGGGCCGCGGAGGCCCGCTCTCCGCCGGGAGCCCCGCTCTCCGCCAGGGCCGTGGGACCGCTTGCGGGAGCGGCTTCGCCCGTCTCGAAAAAGGAAAATCCAGACAAACAGAAGCTTTTGGCGCTCCGCGCGGATTTCTTGGATCCGCGCCTGGGCCCCCCTTGGCGGCGACTCCGGGCGCCGCCCCTGGCGCGCTCCGCGCGCCAGGGAGGGGGTGCCAGCGCGAATCCAAGAAATCCGCGCGGCGCGCCAAAAGTTTACGTTCATGTGGTTTTGTTCTTCTAGTGTCGGAGTGCTCATTAATGGGGGTGGTTGGTTTGCCCTCTGGCGAGAACCGCCTTTGTTCGGTGGCAGAGCATGGGAACTATGTGGGCCCTCGCCATTCTGCCTCCAGCGTCGATGAGCGTCTGGGAGTCCATGAGACAGCGCCGATCTTGCGTCGCCCAGCGTCGACTGGCGTCAATTTAGCGCCGACGAGCGTCGATTTAGCGTCGACTAGCGCCGCTTCGCAAGAGCCGACAAGATGGCACGGGAGGCTCCCATGAGTCTGGAGGGAAAATAACACACAGACGCAATGAATCGTCGATTCCCCAGAAAATATTGGAAAATACGGGAAGTGGGGGGAAGACAAAAACCCAGAACATATGGGAAAGGATGGGGAATATTTTGATTTGTGTGTATTCATTTGTGTGTCCCAGGGCCCCGTCACTGAGCTGCCACCGCAGTCGCCCAGTCCTCTGCGCAGGCGAGGGCCCCCGCGGGGCCCACGCGGGGCCCCGCGGCGACGGGCGGGGGCCCGCGGCCCGGCCCGGGGCCGGCACGCACGGCGCCGCGAGCGCCCTGGCGCCTCGTCGCTGTTGTTGTTGCAGACGTGCCGGGGCTCACGGGGTGGGGGTCGATCACCGGGCCAACACAGGTCATCGGGTAGCAAACCGTGGGAGCAATGCATCCACTCGCAGTACCGTTTTTTAGCGTCGCCTGGCGTCGACTAGCGTCTCGTCGTTGTTGCAGACGTGCCGGGGCTCACGGGGTGGGGGTCGATTCGGGAGCCTTGAAACGGGGGTCAAAGCAAACGGGGGTCAGCCAGAGCACCGGATCCTGCAGGATCCTGCGAAGACCCCCTCTGGCTGACCCGAGTTAGCGAGCCGCTCGTGGCCGCGAGGCGGCCGCGCACATTGGCTGACCCGGGTTTGCGAAGACCTGCGTTGCAGTTTTTTTTGTCCTGCATTGCAGTTTTTTGGTTTCCTGCTGACCCAGGTCTGGATTGACCCGGGTCAGAAGATCCCCGATCGATCACCGGGCCAACACAGGTCATTGGGTAGCAAATCGAGGGAGCAATGTATCCCCTCGCAGTACCGGTTTTTAGCGTCGCTTGGCGTCGACTAGCGTCTGGAAGTCGATAAAGGTAGCGCCGATTTGGCGTCGACTTGCGTCGATGAGCGTCGACTTAGCGTCGACGAGTGTGGATTCAGCGTCGATAGCGTCGATCCGCAAGAGCCGACAAGACGGTATGGGAGGCTCCCCTAGGTTGCCACCAAGCAGGTCATGGTGAGGGACGAATGCGCAGTCTACAAGTTCTCTCCAGGAAGAGCAGCGACGCATCAAAACAGACAACGGATTCATTAAATCGTGTCGCCCGATCAAAACAAGACTGGACAGCATTTAGTACATGCAAGAACCGGCTTGTTTGATTGAAAAGCGAATGTTCTAAATCTGGGGAAGTTTCTCGAATTCCGAAATCATATCATTACAATGACTCAGGTTGGTCGATC